ACTTGAAAACACGCGTTTAGAGCATCTCTAATGCAACATCTATAATAGCAGAAAATGCAATAATTTCGAAAAGTTGTCCCTAATGCATCCTTCTAAAATAGTTTAAGCGTACTAACAAAATAACAGCTTATATATCTTCTGCTAAAATCGCAAGAGATATAGAAGCTGCTATACTTATATTTTGAAGTTCCACGCAACATGAGGTTGCGTACCACTTTATTTATACCAAACTTATACGCAAGATAAAGTTGCGTACCACTTTATTTTGTCCAAGCAAGTTTGTATTAAATGGACTCTATACAAATAAGTATTTTGCATTGTATGGACTCTACACATAGATAAACTGTACGCAACATCAAAGTGTGTATGAAATATAAATATAACAATTTTTTGTTGTTGCATTAGGGATACTGTTTGGTACAACAGTTTAGCAATAATAGAAGCTGCTATTATGTTCTACGTGGGGGGCCATATTATCTTATGTGGAGGCAAGGCAATAATATAGACGTTGCTATAAAGTTCAAACCAGCGTAAAACCTAAAACACTGCAACTGCAAGTGTTAAGAGCAGAGCGTAAATTTGTCAGCGACTCAGCGTTGTAGCTGGCATAGCGGTTCAGTTCCCAACTCCACCCTCTCTCTCTCTCTCCAAAAAACTCAAAAGGTGTCTGTATTGTTACCTGGTTTAAAACCTATCACTGTACCAGCACATCAACTACTTCTTCTTTCTTCCTAAAAGAGATCGATAAAAACCCTCCATGGTACAGTTGCACGCACTCTAAATTAGTCCATCAGTAGTATTGAACACAGTGATGCACGTGTATTTCAAGGTTTAAGAGAAAAAACCCACAAAAAGACCAAAGTACACCAAAGACCAAACCCCTCTTTTACTGTGTCTTTTCATCTCTTTCTACGGATGAGTCAAATAGATAGAAACGTAGTAGAGCTAGAAAACAGCTTAGTAGTCTTTAACAACTCCAACATGGAACCAACCAAATCAGAACATCAACACCAACAATCTTCTCCATCTTTAAATCTAGCAAATTTTCAAAATCAATCTCGACCAGGTCCAAGTCAAAATTCAAGTCCAAGTCTTTTCATGAGCTCAATCTCTGCTCAAACTGCCGGTGGCGGCGGTGACGGTGACCGTGGAGGTGGTGGTCCAAGTTCATCATCTATGGCTAGTGTTACTGATGGTTCTTCTCAACAGCAACTAACAGTAGCTACAACCTCAACGACGGCGATTACTACCACAACAACCACCAAAAGATCATCAAAAGACAGACACACTAAAGTTGACGGGAGAGGACGCCGGATTCGTATGCCGGCAATTTGCGCCGCTAGAGTATTTCAGTTGACTAAAGAGTTAGGCCATAAATCCGACGGCGAAACTATTGAGTGGTTGTTACAGCAATCAGAGTCTGCAATCATAGCTGCTACCGGTACTGGAACTGTGCCGGCTAATTTCTCCACTCTTAATACTTCTTTGAGAAGGGAACACACTACCTCATCTTTGGCAACTTTGGAAACTCTTCCTTCTAAGACGGTATCCAATTCCTTCCCTTTTGCTCATCATATTAATGACCAAAGAATTCCTCAAACTACTATGTTAGGGTTTCATCCTCATCACCAACATCAACATCAACATCAACATCAACATCAACATCTTCATTATTATTCTAATCAGAGTATAGAAACACTTTCTATTGAGCAGAGTGGTGGTGGTGGAGACATGAATGGTAATTATTTGGGGAAACGATTTAGAGAAGATCTTTTTAGAGACGAATCAAAACCTCAACACGAAAATAGCGAGCCCAACTTGAGTTCAACCAATAAATCTCCAAGAACAAGTATTCAATTAAACATACATGATCATGAACAAGCAAATGTGGGTGTTGTCCCTACTGTTGCAGCACCAATCGCTGCAATCCGGCCACATTCAAACATGATGTGGGCAATGGCGCCAGCGTCTAATAGTGGAAGTGGTGCATTTTGGATGCTACCATACACAACTGGTTCCACCACTACTCCAAATATGGCTAGTGCTGGTTCGGATCCTTTGATGTGGGGTTCTTACCCGTCGCCTGGAGGACAACACCAATATACACGGCTCATGCAACAACCATTACAGTTATCATCTCAGCAGCAACATTTAGGCTTGGGAACATCTGAGACTAATTTGGGGATGTTGGCAGCAATGGAATCTTATAACAGGAGTGGTTTTAATATGAACTTGGACCAACACCATCAACGTCAACCTTTAGATCATAATCAACAAGATGAAGTTCACTCACATCACTCTGAAGCCAATGATAATGAGAGTGGAGAAAGGAGTCCATCTAAATCTCATTGACTCTGAGATGCTTACTTATGGTAACTAATAACCCATCTCTCCTTCAACTTTCTGCTTTGGACACATATTATTGTTCTCTGTTATATGGGCATTTTGGTGTTGGTCAGATGCAGGTCATCAGGAGTTAAATTTTGAGAAATGGAGGGTGTTGATTTTTGAGACATGGAGATTTTCAGGTTTAATGATCATTTGGGAGAAGCTGCCCTGCCGGAGTGAATGTGGTTTTTGTGAATGTGTGTGCTGTGTTAGCTTTAGTCAATTTTGACAAAACATGTTTATTCATGCTGCAGTAGTCTTTTGTTTGTAAATGAAAAGTTAGAAGAAAGGAGATACAAGAACTTAAACGGTAAGATGGTTTTTTTAGGCCTTTGAAGTTTTTGAATCTATGTGGACTTGTTGTGATGTTTTTGAGAGCTTTTTGTTTTAAAAATGGAAGATTAGCAGCATGATTACTAGGCCATATTCATAGCAGCTGAGTGATGTTGGTCCACCATTGTCACCAAATTGTATGATGCTGCTTGGCATCCATATGTTACCAAGAAGCTGCCATCCTCAAAGTCAAAAGCAAGATACAATTGGCTCCACCAAATCTAAAGTGGAGTATGGATCACAATTGTCTTCATAAAAAATTGATTATAAGTCTGCAATGTTCAAGAGAAGTCAAATCATACATATCAGGGATGAAGTTCATGATAATAAGAAAACTCAATGGGAAAAACAACCACAAACAAACTATCCTGATTGATGATTCAACATAAAATCACGCTTGATAAACTCCTCACTGTTGAATCTTATGCTTGCCAGCTTGAGACATTATTCCCTTTAAGGCTAGGCAGAAGGGGTGGGGAAGAAAAATTGCATCGACCATAGCATCCTTATCTAATGACAAATCAGATTCTTCTGATGGTATTCCTATTCTTCATCTTCTGTCTCTTCATCATCAGAATCGTCACTGCTATCATCATCATGATCCTCTTCAGTTTCTTCACTGTCTTCACCATCATAAACATCTTTGCCAGGCCATTGTTGTTTCATTACATTCAAATTGGCAGGAGAAACACTTGAGCCTTTCCTCTGTATGGGTTTGGACTGTGACATCTTTGGGTCCTGGGGCTTGCTTAGTTTCGGAAACTTGCCACTGCTTTTTCGAGAATAGGCATCCTGGACGCTGCCTTCATCCATGTCATTATCTACTTCAGTAG